TTAAGTATAGGGTGGCCCTATCTCGAACCTGCCCAAGAAATCAACATACAGTTTGACGAACCATATATATAAGCAAGACATCAAATTTAAATAACTCCAAATTTTTAAAATAATATAGCCATAAGATACCTCATCATCATTGTCAAAGAGACATCGTCTCAACAGAACAAATATTCGAGGCTGTAATGGAGAGAGGTAAAAACAACATCATTAGTTGAGTGATAAGAATGACAAATAAAGTTCATCGTACTTACAAGAAAGAGAAGGGAATTTGTACCTTTAAAGATTCAACTGCAACACCAAATCTTGCCAATGTGCTCACAGCACTGGCACGAACCGTTGCATTTTCAAGATGTACTCGGTTGTATATGTATCGTATGTATTTACTAGGATCAGAGGTTTTGGGTCCCTCAATTCCCAGAAAGTGAAGGATCTGATATTATGGGAAATAAAACAAATTATAAAGGCCATATAGAACATGAAGGCAAGGCGAATTAGAGCAAATAGCTGCTGGAATAATGTAAAAATGTATACTAACCTGTGTCGATAGATAGGTGAATTCACAATCTTCAATAAACTCACACAAGTGAAGCAACCCACTCTCTTTTGCATCAGGAATATCTCTTATAAGAATAACAATTGAATCCACGATAGCTTTTTTATAATCAAAGCCCCCTTCTTCTCTGAGAATGTTGCTAAGGAAATTCATCCTGAAAAAGTGACAAAATGTGTCCTGGACTTACAATCCCAATATATATTGCCTAAAAGGATGCAACATATAAATATTGAATAATAAAAAATTCTGTAAGAACTCACAGAGATCTATACTTCAATGGGAACTTCAAACATAAAGATTTAATAGCTTCTATCACGACAATTTTAAATTCATCTGCAATATCTGACATAAAGTTTGTGATCTGCTTCATTAGACGGTCCACACTTGATTCGTTTCCTGTTTTTAGAAGTGTTGTTATTGCAAGAGTTGCAATGCTTCTGTTTTGATCAGAAATCAAGCTCTCCATGTCAATATTGCAGTTAGTGACAGCCATTGGATGATTCATTGCCACCTGCAAGATTTTCAAATATATTTTCCAAATATCAAAAGAAAATTTAAAAGAGAGAGAATAATCTTAAAAAAAGAAATAGTGGTAGATATAACCTTATTCAAAGTGCGGACAGCAGCAAATCTCAGCACTGGCTTTGAGGAGCTTAAAAACAGCTGAAGAACAGTAATGGCTGGAGTCAATTCTCTGCTTGTTACACCATGCAGCTCAGTGATTGCTTTGGCAGCTTCAAAGATCACCATCTCTGCTTTGTGGCGCAGACAACCCTCAAGAAAATCATAGAAGGGCCGGTCACCAGTTTGAGTACTGGTAGCTGATTCACGAATAACCTATTTGAACAACACTCCATAAGAAAACAAACAAGCTAAGACCTGTCATGTATATGAACCAGGAAATTACATACCTGACTGGTATAGCGAATCAAGAGGCATTGAGCCAATGGAGACCGAACAGTACCCCTTGTTAGGCTAGTGACCAGTTTGCTAACAGCTAGACGATCATTTTGACGTATCTGCAAAGAAAAAATTATAGTTTCTTTAGATTGAATAAACATAATCTTTCTTTTAGAAGAGAAATGGAACCCAGTGATATCGAAAGGAACAAAAAAGGGCGGGTGATGGAAGATACGAAGTGTCACACTAGGGAAAAGTGGGTCCAAAAAAGTACTTCAGGAAGAGTAGTTATAAAAAGCTTTAGAGACAGTAACAAAATGCCCAATCTCTAAGAATAAGTGGCAGGCAACAATCACAAGCTATGAACACTAGTTGGAATAATAAATTAACATTTTAATTTGGTTCACATACAATAGGAATAAGCAGACAAAACAAACCTGAATAATCAAAGTAAGAGCAAATGTGCATGTTTAAGAAAATAACAATACAACATCTAACCTTTATCAGGATTTGATTTCACAAATTAAGTCAGTTAAAATAGACACAACACCTAACCTTTTAAATTTCAATATAAAGCAGCCATTAAAATTACATAGTTCAGCTCAATAACCTTCCCCAGCATTCAGCATAACACCAAAAAATGTGACACAAAAGGATAATCTAACATACTTGATGAAGCAATGCAAGAGCGTGAAATTGAACAAGCGCTGCCCTTGACTGAACAGCTTCCTGAACCTCATTACTCCATCGCTTGACAATTTCTGGATTTGTCTGTGATTTAAAAGATGCAAAGGGAGAGAGTAAGAAAAAATGACAGAAAAAACTGCTCAAAGATGCATATTATTATTTACAATAATGAATACCTGGAGCAAATGAATACCACTAACTAAGGCGGCACTAGCTACCACAGGATTCTTATCTACAATTGCTTGTTTCAGATACCTCTCGATCTGGGTGAGAAGGGTTCCATCTGTAATCCGACAGAGGACACGAATGGAATTTGCCCGATACATATCAGTCTTACTATTCATATCCTTCATTAGGGAGCTAGTCACAATAATAACCTTAAAGAAAATGAAATTAAATGTGTTAGTTCATAATTTTGAACGTATAACTCCAAAAATTAAAGTTAACCTGATTGTGGTGTTAACCTCATCAGCAGATGGAGAAATCTCCTTTATCATCAAATAAACCATTCTCCTCAACCCTATATCTCTTGACTGGAAAAGCTTTGTGACAGCAAAGAAAACTTCGGTGGCTTCAATCTATTAAAAACATTGTTGTACATCGTCAACATTGTCAACATTTGAACAGAACATGCATACATACATCAGCCAAGGCCATGCGTGGAAAATGCATTGACTAATACTAATGCTTTGACGGTGGACTATTAAACTTGACCTTTGTGAAGTTTTCACCCTGATTCAGAAGGTACAGAAGCTTCGTGATGACCTAAAAATAAGACATGCACCAGGCAGAAAATATTAATTATAGAACAATTGGGTGCGCAAGAGGGAAGTTAAAGGAGAGCTGTTTCAAATAATTCCCTAGTACAAAGGCCACACCTGAGAGCATCTTCTTGGATCTAATTGAGGATCATTAAAAACCCTAGCTTCCTGAAGAACAGCACCCTTCTCAATCCCCAAAAACGGAGAATACTCAGCTGTAAATGCAAAAAACCGGAGTTAACATCATACGTCCTTGTGCTGATACAGCATAGTAATCCGGAAACAGGATACAAGACCCAAATGACAGCACTATCCCATCCAGTCATCAAATTAACAAAACCACAACAAAAATTGCAAATGCACTTATCAATATCGTAATTAAGGCAGCAGCCACATTACAGACTGCATCCAAACATCTCAACTTGAAAACCTAAACCAAATTGGAACAAAAATAAATCGAAGATAAGAATCTTGCCGAGTTCAAAACAGAGCACGACAACACAATACATCAAGAAGTACTGCCAAACAACGAAGTCAAGTAGATCTACCATCCAAAAAACTGATCCAGCCTCCCGGAACGTGAACTCGAGGAATTAACCAATATTGAAGTGAGAAGAGAAGAAATTGAGTAACTATGAGGTAAATGGAAGGGAATTTGAGGGAGTGAAAGAAGACATTACCTTCGTCATCGCGGTCGTCGTCCTTCTTGATGAGAGGCTGAGCCATGGGCGATGTATTTGAATCTGAGAGATCTAGAGACGACCAGCAAAGCTTTCCTTACTGCCTGCGAACAAAGGAAAAACCAGAGAAATGCTGAAGTTTGTGCGATTTTGTGAAGGGCTTTGGCTTTGGTCGGAGAAGAAAGAGAAACCGAGAGAAAGTGCTCATCAGAAATTACAATATAGGATGGGCCCTTCTTCAACTAACGAGATGCAAAATATGGACCCTTTTTCAACTAATGAGATGCAATATGGGCCTTTCTTCAACTACGAGATGCAACATGGGCCTGGCCCATAGTATGGGCCCATCTTCAACTAACGAGATGCAATATGGGTCTGGCCCATTGTATGGGCCCTTTTCAACTACGAGATGCAATATGGGCCTGGCCCATATATGAGCCATTTTTCAAATTACAAAATACGATACGGGCCCTTCTTCAACTAACGAGATGCAATATGGGCCTAGCCCATAATATGAGCCCTTTTCAACTAACGATGCAATATGGGCCCTTCTTCTACTAACAAGATGCAATATGAGCCTGGTCCATAGTATGCTGCACTGCCTTGATGCAATATGGGCCTGGCCCATAGTATGCTGTACTGTCTCAATGCAATATGGGCCTGGCCCATAGTATGCTGTACTGCCTTGAGCATCTTACCGCCGTAGACTCCGCCCCGCAGGGTGGTTTGCTCTTATGCTATTCCTGCTATAATGCTTCTTTGAATTGAGATCATTCATCTATCCAAATAGTCATAACTCTATGCAATAGTTAAGATCTTCAAAGGTCCCATTGAAGATACGAGTATCGTATCTCTTAAAGACCTCCATTGATGCTCGGGTTATGATTTATCACCCTAGTTGGTTTACTAAGATTGTCTGAAAACTCTTCCACGTCGTGACAGACACGGGGAATCAAACTTACTGAGCATTGAAGGTTACGTTATGGGGACTAATATGAAAATATGAAAATAAAAGCGTGAAAGATTTTGGTAATTAAAACAAAAGTATACAATATTTATTTATTTATTACACGCTAAAAAAAAAAAATCACAATTTTTTAATTTTAATGAAATCTATAATATTTCGCCTGCCTTACACGTGGTTTGGCTCGTTTTAAATAAATGGGTAGAAATAATTTTTTTTAAAAAAAGTTCTAAAAATATAATAAAAATAATTTTAATCCATTAATAAAATACAAATAATTTATTTTTTTTTTGGTATGGAAATTAATATTTTAAAGAGTGAAATAAACCCAATAATGTAATTGAAGTAAAATAAAAAGAATGGGGAAATGAAATGGAATTATTCATTGTTTTCCCATTCACAGATCACTACAGCTTGGCTTCGTCTTCTGATCAGAGAGAGAGAGAGAGAGAGAGAGAGAGAGAGAGAGAGAGAGAGAGACCAGAAGCCTCTCTTCTTCTTCTTCATCAATTCTCTCTGTATCTCTGTCGCTAAGTTTCAATAGATTGAATTGATCTTTGTTCCCTTACGATGCCGTCCCGAAGAAGGACCCTCTTGAAGGTCATCATCCTTGGGGATAGCGGGTGAGAATCACTGTTCTTCTCTTTCTCTTTTCCAATTTTGCTTTTGAGGTAGACTGCCCTTTCTCTCTAATACTCAACGGATCGACTCAGATCGTTACTTTCCGAACTTGCGGAATTTTCTTTTGTGAGTTCTTGGCCTTTGATCTGGAAGGGATTCAATGGGGCTTTAAGATTCTGTTTGCTCGGATTTAGATTGTTTGATGAACTTATATGTTCTTGCTTCTTTTTATTCACCAGTAGATGGTTGTTAGTAGTGATTGGTTCTTATTTTTGTTGGGAGCACTCGCTTTGTGGCTTACTTTCTATATTTGGGCTTTTTTGGTTTACTTTTTGGAAATTGACTTTTGTCTTGGGCTGGTATTCAAGGTTCTGATTCGGGGAACTGACATGTTTGGATCTGTTTGTTGTGTTTTAATTTGTTCCTTCTCTACTCTATATGGTAATTTGAAGCTTGTTTTTGAACTTGCAGGGTTGGGAAGACCTCTTTGATGAACCAGTATCCTGCTTGATTGTTGAATTAACAATGTTATAGTGTATCATTTTCCATTGAAGATACTGATTCGAGTTTCTCTTTTTGTAACAATTCTTCTATTTTATAGAAGAATAGTTTCTTGATCCTCCGTGTGGTTTCCTTGAACTTTTAAAAACAGATATGTAAATAAGAAGTTTAGTAATCAATACAAGGCCACCATTGGAGCTGATTTTCTGACTAAAGAGGTGCAATTCGAAGATAGACTTTTCACTTTGCAGGTTGGTAATGGGGAAACTTCTATTTGCCTATGCACATGTTGCTTTTATTAGATTAGGAGAATTGTCTTGAATTCGATGGGATAAAAACAGAACAAAAAATGTGGGATCCCACGTCGGTTGGGGAGGAGAATGAAACATTTTTTATAAGGGTGTGAAAACCTCTCCTTAGCAGACACGTTTTAAAAACCTTGAGGGGAAGCTTGAAAGGGAAAAAACCCAAAAGAGGACAATTTTTACTAGTGATAAGCTTGGACTGTTACAAATGGTATCAGAGCCAGACACTGAGCGATGTGCTATCGAGGAGGCTGAGCCCCGACGGGGGTGGACATCGATGGAAGAAGGAAACAAATGTCGGCGAGGACGCTGGGTTTCGAAGGGAGGGTGGATTGTGAGATCCCACATCGGTTGAGGAGGAGAACGAAGCATTTCTTATAAGGGTGTGGAAATCTCTCCCTTGCAGACGTGTCATTAAAACCTAGAGGGGAAGCCCGAAAGGAAAAACCTAAAGAAAACAATATCTGCCGGCGGTAGGCTTGGGCTATTACAAAAAAATGTCTTATCACTTAGACTCATTCTAATTTCCTTGTGATTGGTCGATTGTGGGGAAAATGTGTATGAACTTAATCAATCCATTATATTTATAGTTGTGTCTTGACTCGGTACATCCCATTATTCAATGGCTAGAAATCAATTTACTACTTTATGCCTTACAGATATGGGATACAGCAGGCCAGGAACGATTCCAAAGTCTTGGTGTTGCTTTTTACAGAGGTGCTGATTGCTGCGTTCTGGTGTATGATGTCAATTCAATGAAATCATTTGACAATCTTAACAACTGGCGGGAAGAATTCCTTATTCAGGTTCTGTTCTCTATGTTCATGGACTATAATCTTGTTACCAGAAACCGATTTACAGAAGAGTTCAAATAAGTTGAAAAGATGATAGAAAACCTGAACTTCTTTTGATGCTTTTGCATAACATCATCTGCAGGCGAGCCCTTCCGATCCCGAAAATTTTCCCTTCGTTGTTCTAGGAAATAAAGTTGACATAGATGGTGGAAACAGTAGAGTTGTAAGCATTACCTAAATTTCAGTATTGAATCATGTTCTCTTTCTACATTCAGAAGGTTGTAAGCTGAAATTTTCTGTTTTTCCGAATACTTCAGGTTTCGGAGAAAAAGGCACGAGCTTGGTGTGCATCAAAAGGAAACATCCCATACTTTGAAACTTCTGCCAAAGAAGGCATTAATGTGGAAGAAGCCTTCGAATGCATTGCAAAAAATGCCCTCAAGAGTGGGGAAGAGGAAGAGATGTAAGTTCATATGCCAAACCAAATATTACTAACTCAGTCTCTCATTTTCTATTCTCAGTTATTTGTTGTACATGTGCATAAAATATGAATCCATTGTTAGCTACATTATCATGCATTTCACCAACCAAAATTACTTATCAATTTCCACATCTGTACGAACTTGACGTGATAGGGTTTCGGTTGGGGACATTTCACCTAGTTTTGTTGTTTCCAAGCTTTGTGTCGCACGACGTAGAAATGAACAATGTGTGCAGGATCCTGAATCCTCTATCATATACCTTATAGAAAACGAATAGACGAATTAAGGTTTAGATCTAGCAATGGATTTAGTTAGTAGTTTTTGACCTGAGGCTGTGGATATGTAGAATCTAGCTCGTCCTAAATGGCTGTATTTTCTCACTTCCTTTGTTTCGAACTTTCTTCGTCCATGATTCATTGGTTTCTACTCCTGGCTATTAACTTTACTTTCACAAAACCTTTTCGATTAATGGTTGCAATGGTGTACCGCAGATACTTACCCGACACCATCGATGTTGCGAGGAACAACCAGCCAAGATCATCTGGATGCGACTGCTGAGTTCAATACACTGAATCACCTCTTATTCTATTTCATTCTCCAGTAAATCTCAAGTCTTCTATAAAGGTCCTACAGACTCAGGCTTTTTATGCATATTCCTATTTGTACATTTGGCTTTGCATTTGAACAAATCCTGTCATTATCGACTCAGTTCGTGTTTGGTCGTTGCAAGTTGTGTTTACTATCTTAGGGGTTTATTAATTATCCATCTCGTGACCGACTCTATGCCTGAGCCTCATTTGTTGATGACAATCAGTTTGTCGCCTAAGTTTATGTAATTCTTCTCAGTGAACGTATTGATTCTTGTTTATTTGCTAGGATTTTGGTTCTTCTGTTCATGCTTCAATATATTTTAGATCTTCAACCAGGATAGTTTCTGCAATGGTCACAATTATAACTCATTTGTTAAACTATAATATGATAATATGGCTATATATATATATATATATTACGAAATGTCCAATAGAAAGATTTTGAACTATAATATGATCATATGGCTGTTCAGAATACAAAAGGACTATAGAGTCTGGCAGGCTGAATTAGATTCTTTTTCCTTTCAAATTTAAAACTGTTCCTGGTTGAATATAATACAACATTCAAATCAAATTGGTTACACAGTAAACTGAAGTGAACTCTACTGTATTAAAAAGGTCGCGATCTCAACCTGCAAGCTAATATTGATTTACTTTGACCCAACAGAAGAAAGTGTGTCCTGATTTGCAGGGCGAAATGAACTCCCAGAAATTGTTGTACTGGTTGTTGGGTATTGGGGGTTAGGGTTAGAAGCAGCCATACCCGGCAGTCCCGATGTCGGAGGCCTTTTGGGCACCATGCCCATTGGAGGCCTTGGGACTGTGTTTGCAAAGTTCATGGGCATCCTGTTTGTTGGTAATGTTGGTGCCCCACCTCGTGATGACGAAGCAGGTAAGCCTAGTCGAGCAGCGATTATCTGTGCACGTTCCTGGAAAAGCCTCTGCTTTGACCTGTCTAGTTGCTCCCTCATTCTCACCGTCACGTTATCCATGTCGTTGAAGAATGCTAACTTGCTTTCCAACTTATGCAGCTATAAGAGGGGGTAATGTAAGTTTTGTTTAAAATGTATGGGAAGGGAATTTCAATTGAGATACCTGTTTTTCGATTAATATCATGGCAAGATGACGGATTTGGTCCTCTTCCTGATTAGCCAGGATTTTTGCCTTCACTGCTGCTGCTGACAGTGTCGTAACCGCAGCACGCTTCAACTTGTCGATTTTATCCTCTTTTTTACTCATACAATTGGAGTTTTCTTCTTTGTTGTCCTTGCTTTGATTATCATCTGTTAAAGAACAAATAAACACGTACTGTAAAAAAAAATGCATTCCTATAAAGAAAAGGCCTTATGGCGAAATCTTATAAAGGCTAAATATACTCCTACATCAAACAAAGATCACCTCCCTCCATCTTCTACAAAAGGGCTTTGGAAGTACATAAAAAAACATCAAAATCTTATCACCCACCGAACTCGCCATATGGTGGGGAATGGGGGAAACACATCATTTTGGACCAACCCATGGATTGAAAACACCATGCTAGCTTTGAAGTATCCACTTTTGTACAGGCTTTCTCACAACAAAAAAGCCACGATTAAAGAAACGTGAAATGTTGTCAACAAATTTTGGGATTTGAAGCTTGGTAGGAGGATAATGAAGCAACAGAGTGGGCCGAATTATTAAGCCTTGACCTTGCCTCTGTGGTATTGTCAAACAAAGAAGACTCACTAACTTAGCTCCCCAGCGATGACGGGATTTTTTCTACAAAATCCTTGATGATGGACATGGGGGAAAAAGTAGAAGCAATAAATCTCACGCTAGCAAAGACAATATGGAAAGGACATCAACCTAAAAAGGTGAAGTTCCTTTGGGAAATAGCGCATAAAGCCATCAACACAAGTGAAAATCTTCAAAAAAAAAAAAAAAAAAAAGTCTTACATCACTCTCTCCAAATGGGTGTCCACTAAGCAAGAAAGCAAACGAATCACAAAGTCACTTGTTTATGCAATGTACATACACTCAAAATTTCTGGACAACGATTCTTAATATATTCGGATGGCATCTCACATTTCCTAGGGAGGTAAAGGATATTTTGGATATGGCCTTAACGTACCACCCTTTCAAGAATGCAAAAGCCCTATTATAGAAAAACCTTATCATGGCTTTCTTTTGGAATCTCTGGAAAGAAAGAAATCAGAGAATATTTGCAGAATCGACATAGACCTACACAAAACTTTTCGACAATGTTGTTTACCAAGCTATATCTTGGTGTAAACTGTCTAATATTTTTACTTCCTATAGTTATACCTCCCTCATTGCAAATTGGGAAGGTCTTTTGTAAACATCTTGGATTATACATCCCTCTTGTAAATTTCACTCATCAATGAAATTTTCTCTTATCAAAAAAAAAAAAAAAAAAAATTAAAAATAAATAAATAAATGCATTCTCGTATACTTCTCAGCAATTGAAACAAGATTCATTAATTTGCTGAGTCTGTTCAACACTCCTAAAAAGTCCAGAGAATCAATCATGCTTATAGTGTTCCTCACACATTTTAAAATTCAGCACATCAGATCAAGCATGATACATAATACAATGATACGACAACAGAAGGACGACAAGAAGTTATACCAACTTGAGCTAAAAAAAACCGAGCGAAATTTCAAAGTCGAAAGACTTTGTCCTCAATATAATCTTTTTAAAGACAAGTCACAAGACTGAAATTTTTCATTGTACAGAAAATTTCTTTCTTGGTAAGAAGATAGACTTCTTTTAAAGACGTCTCCATACCCTTAAACGATCGAACTTAATAGTCTCCGAACACTCTTGAAACAAGGTCATCAATTCTGAACTCCGCACATTACAACCATCAAAACTAAACACTACCTGCTTAGTCTCCTCAAGAGTAAAGGGCCCCTCCAAACTATCCCCTCTTTATACTACTCATTGGCCGCCATAAAAGCCAAACAGCTTGGGGTGGTATCATTATTTTTTTAATAAGAAAGAAGAGGGTTATTTTCACAGGGATAACAATAACAACCCAGGGCCGGGAGTAGAGGGCACCCTCCAAAAAAAAGTACACCATGAGAATCTTCAAATTACTAATAATTATCCAGTGTTGGTAGTTTACGAAAGAATTTTGTATATAAAGAGATCCACCAAGACCTCGTATCATGTACAAGATTAAAAAAAGAAAAATCAAAATAAGAGAACTTATCTTCAAAGGAGTACATGTTTCTTTCCTGCTAGATGTGCCACAAAAGATCTCTAAAGGCATAACTTCTAACAATCTTGTCTTTCCTTTTCAAGTTCCATGCATGAATGAATACCTTCCATAAACCAATCGTCCACCTTCTTATGGAGGAAAAAAGAAATTCCTAAGTTCCCACCAAGTGGTAGAGGCAAAGTCAATGGAGGAGCAGGTGATTAAGGTTTCCTCCATATTCAAACACATCCTGCAACCTGATGGTGAGAGGAACCACCTCCTACACTTTTAGTTAATCCTTCATAATTAACGAGAGACAAAGTTTTGTTTTTGTATCTCCGAAACCGACAATTCTATGAAAGAAAGATTATGATCCCCTTCCTTTCCACGAAGCTCTTGATTTCTATTTTCAACTTACTCAATCTGAACTTTGGCAATTACTTTCTTCAACAGAATTAAGTCCCTTATGCAAATAAAAGTTTCTTGCTCCTTCATGGCTTACACAAATTTCACGAAAGATGGAGACGCATTCCGATCCCACAATAGTGACCTAAGGGAAGAAAGCCTTTTCATGAATTTAAACCCTTCCAACCTTTTCATTTGTTTTTCTTCAGTTCTTTCATAAAAATATTTGGGATTTTATGTTTGCATGTTACTGGATTATGTTGGGTTTTTCACAGTTCACTAAAAGGAAATGTGGAACAATTAGTTGGTGGAACTTATATCAAGGGAAGAACTAGAAGTTGTGGATTGGTGCGGGTAACTCAATACAATGGAATATTCTACTGGAAAGAGATAATTGAAAATTTAACGAGCCTTCAAGTGTTATTGTTCTCTCTTTCTCTCTCCGGGGGGGGGGGGGGGGGGGGAGAGATGGAGGTGTCAGATTGTTAACCGTTCAAGATGGATATCTAATGAGAGAGGGATCCAAAGAACCCACACTCATCAATGGAAGCCTTGTCAAATCATAATCTCTGACTAAACACCAGCACTAAGTGCACAGACCAAGCCAACCTCCTAGCTCCTCCTAGAAACAAACCCTTTCCCGATACCTGGAGGGACCATAATTACATTTATGGAAGTGAGTGAATAAATTCTATGATCCATGAACTACTCCCAGGCTAGGAAGGTTGCGAGTCCATACAACTAAGATGCCTCCAGAAGACCTTATAGGATCAAGGGACTGTCACTCAACAAAACTGATGTCTCTAAATAATATGAATTGGATTCCCATGAACCCTAGAACACTTTGTCTCTTGAAGGATAAACAAGTCATGCTTTGCTTGAGACAATTTCCCTACAAAGTCTCCACTTAACTTTCACTTCAAGCATGAATTTGAAGAGATATTTGAAAGACAATATATTGGATGGCCTGAGAAAAGAACGCCTATCCTGAATTTTGACGTTTGTTTCATTTGATGTCATCTCAAGAGTCACCATAATCTTTTGCGAGAAGGCATCAAGCTTGAAAGAAAAATGTCAAAACCAATTAGCAAAGAGAGCAAAGTTCTTCAGCTCTGAATTCCCAACCCCTAAACCCACCCCTCTACACCACCCCCTGGCCCCTCCAACAAAGTGGGCCATAATTTCTCTAACTTGGCATATGGTTGAAGGACAAGAAATAAAGTGAGAGCTTCACTATCTGATTGGTTTTGTCAGTTACTTATGCTTCCCCCTAAAACATTACACTTCCCTACAGGATAGATGATGCTTCCAAACCTTTTCAACCACTAGATCGAGGATTTGTTTCTCATGCATCAAAGCTGATAGACTTCTTGAAACAGTAGCAGTTGGCCCTTTTTTCCAATCTAGTTACAAGTACCTTAACGTTGAGCTTATAAAAGATGCACGTGTACTACTAATGTGCCTAAAATCTTATAATCTCATAGCACAATTTTTAAAAATAAAAGAAATATTTGTAGTACTGGATTTAAATCTATGATGCCATTACTATGAAGTTCATTAGAACCTCCAACAAGTTATGTTTGGCGAGAATCTAACATATTCTGATAAATATAATAAAAAAGCATTAGAATAAAGGACACATGTCATCACAATAAATAACAAATTGTCTGAGTTCCTACACTAAGTGCCATGTTAAAAGATAATGGAGCCCAATCTAATCCCTCCAATTTAAAGGGGATGGAAGAAAGAACTAGTGGAGGAAAAGTTCATCAAAATGGTTAACTTCTTCTATATAGTTTCTTATTGAGACTCAACATAAGATCCATCATTTCTGTTCAATTTATTAATCCATTTCTCACTCTTCCTTCCACTGAAAATATCGTGGAAAGATCTGAGTTAATTTCCTGGGTATGAACCATTAAGGTTTAAACTTTTATTTGAACAATTCTTCTCTGACATGCAACCTTTCCAACTCTTCTTTGAATTCAAGCATCTCTTCTCTTAACACCATGGATCCTTAAATCACACACTTATAATCTTTTTCCCAACAAATAAATTTTCTCTTCTATGTCGCCCATACACTTATTTGTTCAGTTCCAGAATCCGTGTCCACTTCAAGTTTTGTCATAAAGGAATGTCCAAACAAACCACAGAATTCTTGACCCATCTAGTGAGTAGTATAAAAAGAAGGGTTGGAATTAACAACTAGCCAATGCCCATTTCAGATTTGAACAATTATCCGCTCAAGCCGTTTGTCTATTTGAAGGAAAGAATCTTCCTATCCTATTGGCAGGTAGATAGATTTTTTAATTTATTTATAGGAAATGAACGAGGTATGGAATTAATCACAGAAAATCAAACAAAACAGCCTAAGGGGCGGGGAGTTATTTATTTATTTGTTGTTATTATTTTATAGTTCAACACAACATTTAGAGATGGGGATTTGAACACCTAACCTCTTGAGTAAGGTTTATGCGATAACTAATTTAGCACATGAGGAAGCTTAACAAAAAGTCCTACATTTCTTTTGCCTCTTGGAATGTGCAAGCTTTGGATACCCTTGAATAATATTTTTTAAAAAAATTGAAAAATGCAATCTGAATTGGTGGGAGGTTCAAAAATACAAAATTATAGCTGGGGAAAAAAAAAAAAAAAGAAGAAGAAAAAAAAAGAAACACGTACCTGCTCCTCTTTCAATAACCGAAGTTGGTTTTACTGGTAGTGGAGTTGCATTCTCTGCTGAGGGCAAAGAATCAGCGACCTTGCTTGCTCCCTGGTCAACCACGGATTTAGACGTTTCAGTTTGTGCAGGTTCATTCTCATTGTGAGAATCAGGTATAATGGCTACATCTTTTGAGGCTTCTTTCACTGAATTAGCAGAAATTGTTGGTTGAGGCTCGTTTGCAGAGGGTAAATGATTTGGCTCGTCATCTAATTCTTTTTTAGTTTTGGCAGAATGAGATGGAACTTGCTTCTGAATCTCAGTTTTTTCAGCATGTTGCAAATCTGACATATGAACATCCTTTGGTGACAACTTGGGTTGTGATGATTTTTCAGCAGAAGTTCCTTCTCCCAACTTTTCAACTGGATTTGATGTCGATTTTGATTCTACATTTTCACATTCCTTCACAATGCCTGTTCTTTCAACCTCAGGTAATTCTGGTTCTCTCGATTCTTTCAAATTACTTGTTCTATCTGAATCATGATTAGTAATTGGATTGTGTTCTATAATAGCATCTGAAGAATTTTCATTATCCATAGTCTCCTTTGTCACCAATTCTCCATTTTTGTTATTACTGTCATTAGTTGATAGGGCTCCGTCATCTAAGACTGAAGTAGAATTGTCTGGTCTCTGTTTCGCACACTGTTCCTTGTCATTTTTCTGAGTTTCCACATTGACAATACTGCAAAAGTATCACTGTGATCAAAGAATAGAACCAAACTGAAACAAGCATGTCAAGGCTCAACGTCAAGTACCTCTGTGAATTAGCTTTGGCCTTCTCAACATCTGGTGGATCTTCTAAAATAAAGCAGTGCCTTGTAGCCAGTTCTAAACTGGGAGATTTCTGAGATATGCTTTTCAAAGAAAAACGGGCTGATGCACTGGCAACATCTGATCCAACTAAGCGTGCAAGGAATGCAGCCTGAAAAGCAAATATTTAAATAGTTGAGCAATCAGGAATGAAATTTATGATTATAAGGAGTGCTACTGAAGGGCAAAGAGTACACGCTTCAGCATTTCTGCTCCACCAATAAATATAATAAGCATGACAATTACTAACTGAAGGTCATCCTGAGCAAGGATAGAAGCCAATGAACGAATTGTAACGATAGCTGCCAAAACTTGGTTCATGTACAGACACGGATGACAAAACGAAATCCTAGAATGCTAAGGCAGGTTCAAGATAAACCTTCATTTTCTAGCGGAGAGAATTATTTGAATTGAACATATAAAGAATAAAAGGGAAAAGATAGCAAGAATCTAGAATCAACGAAGTTAACATACACCTTCAAGCAAAGTAGTAAAGTTCATACAAAGTGAACGTCAAACTGCTCCTTTGCAGCGCAGACCTGGTGCATTTTATAGGCTAACAAGAATTAAGATGCCTGCCATGACATCCAAAAGATCCATCACGGAAGAAATCATCTTCCATCTATGAGACTTAAGAAAATTCCAGAAACCAAGTTCAATGTATAAGGAACCAGCTTAAGTGATGACTAAGTTTTTTTTTAGCTGCACAAATCTAAATAATGGTTTTACTTTTAGATTTTTATTTTATGGAAAGCGAGGAACTTCAAAACCACACGACTAATCCTAGCCTGATTCAGAACAACAATGAAATAACCATAAATTTAAGGCATACCAATGAATAAAAACTATTCAAGATCGATTAAAGAAAATTAGGACTACCGATTTCATTAGTTCTTACGTTCTAAATTTCCACTTACCAATGCCATGACAGGGTTCCCTACATCAGCAAATGAAAGTGGATGCTCAGGTGTTAATACATAACCAATGGCTTCAAATGCCTCCCTCAAAGCATTCAAGGCAATGTCTTCAGAAACCTTCTGATCACCATCTTCTAATTTGGAGTTATCTAAAGCAGCTTTTCCTTCAACATCCTCTGATTTTGAATTATCCAGCCCAACTTTTACCTCACCTGTATCTTCCTTGGTTGCAGTTTCTGTATTCGAAGCCTCTTTTTCAGTAGCCTTATTATCCAATGATTCAGTGATATCAGTAGGAACTGATGAATCATTTTCAGTTAAAGGTGGAACAGTTTCTTTTGCACCGTCTTCAACATTATCCTCAGATTCAAGAAAGGTATCCTCAATTGGCATTTGAATGAAGTGCAATATACACTGGGCTTTTGTTTTGGTGGCCACATGTTCAGCAATCTCATTCCAGTTTTCCTTATAAAGCTCTAAAGCCTCAAGGAGGAGGAGAGTTTCCTGATCTGTCCACTTACCTCCACTAGCACCAGGAACCCCAACGGACTCCATGAGAATAAAATCTGATGAAGACATATCGGAATCAAATTTCCCATTGTTAAAGCACTCCGAACATAAATCAAAATCTGCCTGCCAAGGATGAATATTATTAGTTGATATGTCAATGAATACACATCACTTTTGATTTATGAGACTACGCATGAAATTTAATGTCATGATTTTGCATCCATGAGATTCTAAAATACAAGTTTGATATTCCAACAATGAACTGAAGAAGGAATTTTGAATTGACAACCCACCTGCTCCTGGGTTCTGTCTGGTATATGACACTTTTTTTTTTTTTTTTTTTTTTTTTTTTTTTTTTTTTTTTTTTTTTTTTTTTTTTTTTTTTTTTTTTTTTTTTGATAATTATAGGCTAGTCCTAATTCCTAATAAGATTGGAGGCTGACACTCATTAGTTTTTGTTGGGAGGGGGCATTCTCATCCCCTTGCCCTTAGGCTGCTCCTTGCTTGTTAATAAAATTCCTTTGTTCCTAATTAAAAAAATAAAAAAAAAAACAAACAAACAAACAAAAGAAGAAAAAAGAAACCAACCTGCTTCTGGCAGTGGTAACGTTTCCGAGAGCAATCAGCAGAGCATGAGTTACAGTGGTACTCAACAGATGGACCCTCAGGCCTCGTCAACTCTTCAGAAATTGCAGATTCTCTAAGCAATCTAGGTGGAGCTGCAGTGGTAACATTGATCTTCGGAACAATAGATGGGCAGGATTCTAATGTTTCAAAGTGAAACAACTTCTCAACCAAAGAGTCCTTTTGACTTTCATCGTCAAGATCACTTGTTGAAATTGATTCTGCGGATAGTAAAGGGTGAAAATTAATCAAACCCCAATGGTCAAGAAACTCCATCACCTCCTTTCTAGCATCTTGTTCTCCAACTTCCAGCTCTGATAGATCTTTTGCTTCAAGCTGCGTACTGGGATTTGCATGGAATTTTTTCATAATCCAATTACGTATCTTGATATATATATCAGGACTTCGAGTGCCATCCTTTCCACTGAAAAAAGAAGGCATCGAACGTTCCTCAATTGGATGGACTTCTGTCCATGAAAACCAACCTGAAAACAAAGACCAAACGATAATCAATAAACTTGTGGATCTCTCATTCTCTCTTTATTAATGAAGAAAGAAAGCCGAAGATTAAGCTTGTTCCTGGAACCAGAAAGCAAGAAATGAAAATTTTGTAAAGCATGGAAGAATTAAACTTATTGCATGGCTGGTTATTAATGTAGCACTTGGCAATTTCGCCCACTACATACTCTAGAGAATTAAGAAGCTGTAAGAAACAAAACATGCGCATGAAATAGAAGGCCAAAAGAAAGGGAAACAGAAAATATTGGTTGAGACTTCGTCTTGAAGAAGATCTATGTACTTTTCCAATCCAAGACAGCAGAGATCTTTCAAATAATTTTACATATCAGAAGATTTTTAATTTCAGAAAAATCTTTCAAATAAAATCTATGATCTTTCATATAATTTCACATATGTACTTGTCTATGTACTTGTCCAATCAAGCTGTAAGATGTGCATGGTTTGTCAACCATGCACATTTTCTTGCATCCTCACATAGTTTCAGAAAAGCAAAAGAAGCTCAACATGTAACCATTGTTTATCCAACTTCTCTTTAGACTACCCTCAATTTGCTAAGAAATTTTTGACAAAATAAAAGGATGCACTGAACTTCCAATGAAACAGATACAACAAAGCCTGATGTACGTTTAGATATGCACTACTGAGATACTGAATTCTTAATCACAACAAAGAAAATTGGGAAGCTTTTCTTCACGGTACAAAAATACCAAGCCCTTAGTTCAAAATTTCCCTTCTCTCAACATGGAGGTCATTTCGACAAACCCCTACAACGCTTGGCACAAATCAGGATCTCGAAAAAGAGTAAACCGAAACTCACCGCAATGATTCGGAACGACATGAGCATTCGCACTCCGAGATTTAATGGCTTCGAAATCAGCTTCGAAAGACGCCTCCATATTCGCCAATCTAGTCGCCTTGTTCAATTCCTCCGCCGCGGCGACCAACGCGTCTCCACGCTGAACTTCGGAATGAAGTAAAGAGCCTTCCGTCTTAACTGATTCGGCGGCGGAGGCAAGTCCCCCATTAGCCGATGCTGCTCCAGCAACATTGTTAGGGCCAAATCGAGCTCTGGTGAAAGGGCCGTTATGATTTGGAGGATGTGTAAGCGCAGATTTTTCGCGAGTAACGCGTTTCGAGGGCGCGGATGAGGAGATAGAGCCACCGAGAGTGCTTGCCTTTCGCTTCTGAGCTCCAGCTCGACGACGAGAAGAAGGCGGCTCCGATGACGGAGAATCGGTGCTGTTTGCCGGTAAATTTCGGGCGTCGCGGCGCTTCTCCTCCATGTGAGGATTTGGTTGGAAATGGATTCAGTTGTAGATGATGATAGTGTCTACTTTTGAGAACTCCATTGTTGCTGATTATATTGCTACTGGCATACCCAACCTTGTTTCTTCCATGATGCATTGAACTTAGAATTCCAATTCTTACCAAAATAAATAAATAAATAAATAAAATAAAATTCAATTTTTACAAACCTTACTTGAGGTTAAATAGTAGGCTAGTTTTTTATTTATTTTTTTTTTTAATTAAATATAGTGATTGGGCTATAATCCGCTCATATTTTCAAGGTTTTGAATCTCAAAACATGATTTAAAACACAGGCTAAAAACAAATGCCGTGAAATTTAAATCAAAATAAAAAAAATACGAGAAAATGAGTTTAGGATACAATTACACAATGAAATTCAAAGACGAATTGACGCTCTAGAACGATCCCCATTATGACTATATAAAAAAAGAAAGAGTATAAAAATGCTCACTAACTAACCTATTTGTATGCTCGCATCGGATCCTTGACATACTAGGTATTCGCTTGGTGCATTGAAGTTTCGAACAGTACCTTAAGTGCTCAAGGACCCACTTTGGGTTCGGAGGAGTGGTTCACCCTTTTCTGTCGTTGTAGATCTACAGAGCGACAAGTCCCATCTTTGAGACACTACTCGTAGAACCAATGTCCATTGAGGCACTATTCGTAGAACTCTCTTAGTGAGACAAAATGGTGGTGCCCTAGTCTACTCATCATCCGTGGAAGGCCTATAAAATTATATAGTCACCCAAAGTTGGGGAGCGACTTCAATGTACTTACCAACTAATAAAATTACCAACGTGATTTCAAGCCCTCTCTTAGGACGGATCCGTACATTAAAAAAAATTAATAATTTAAAATGTGTTTATTATAATTTATTGAATAAATTAGATGATTAAAAGTTTTTAAATATTAATAAATAAAAAGCATTTAAAAATTATATTAATTTAAAAGCCCTTTTTAAATAATTATCTCTTAACACCTTTTTCATGATTAAAAGTTTTGATTCCCTTAAGAAACATTTTTTTCATCCGTTATTTTATATACTATTAAATTTAATTGGTAAATTGATTTTATTAAATTTCTTGTGAAAAAAAGATGGTTGATTCATGTAACGCTGACTACATAAATGAATTGAGACCACATCCGAACAAGCTGATCTTGAAGATATGATGGTTAAAAAATATATAAATAATTGATAGTCACTACTTATTCTAGGGACGTACTCCTTCATTTTTTATAACTCAATTTTAAGAACAGTAATGTTAAGCGTTCTTAGTATTTGATAAGAAAAAAATATCTTGAAAGGATCCGTGTTGGTGCGTGGGGAATAGTTTTCATTCTTAAAAACACTTCAAGACGAGTAGGTAGCATGATCATGTAGCGGGAATACAGAAGAATTTCGAGCCATCAAGTGTCAAATTCGATTCTGATGTTTAGTTCCTTGAGGAGTTTCCCACGGTTAATTTTATTGAACAGAAAAGTAAATTACACAAACGGTAAACACGTTAGATCATAGCTTAAAGGATTCGTAAATCCCTTAAGAGATCAATTATTCTCGTATATTTCTATGGCATGTTTTGACATAACATTAAGCATGTGCGACCTCTATGACAGCTTTGTCATGGTGAGCATCAACCCGGAAATCTTTAGCTTCGAGGTCATCGTGATCGCGATCTTTGATAGAAAGATTTGTTTCGATATCATCTGGATAAAATGAGGCACTTGGTCGTGGTTGTATGTCTTTGGAAAGAAGTTCGACTTTAACAACATTTGGATAAAATGAGAGATTTGGTCGTGGTTCTATATCTTCAGCAATAAACTTTTTTTTGGTGTCGTCGGGATAAAATGATGCACTTGGTCGGAGTTCTATGTCTTTAGAAAAAAGTTTAGTTTTGACTATATCTAAGTCAAATGTAGCTTGGGGTCGAGACTCAATATTTTTGACAAAAAGCTTTCCATCTTCAATCTTCAACGTTTCGGTACAATCTTCTGTTTCTTTTTCATAACGAAGTGAGTTTGGATCAGAATGGATAAATTCTTGAATTTCTTCATGCAACAACTTGTCGTCGATAAAATTTCTCCAGTGATGATTTCCTGGCTCGTGCCTTGATTCTATAGTGTTTGCAAGCTAGATTCACCGCAAAAAAAACATAAATCAAAACACGTTCGAGTATACATAAATAACTTAATTTGAATACGAAATGGGGTTAGAGTAGGGGAAGATGATGGAATTGGTATTAATTACCAAAATAAGTAAGAAATTGATGAACACAAGCCCCTTCATGTTTTGATATCACTTAGTTCCTCCTTTGCTGACTTCCCTTCAAAAAAAGCCACAAACTCTTCCTCTATATATACTGTTCCATTAAATTTTATATAATGTTTCAATAATAACTTTAAACTTTTAAAAAAAAAAATTCCAAAAATATTTTTAAATTAAAAATTTTAGAAGTATCTTTAAATTTTTTTTAATATTTCAAAGAATATCCATAAACGTTTAAATTTAATATTAAATCTTAAACTTTTAGAAAAAAAATTAATTTTTTTTTTTTACTGTTGATGCCCTTAAAATTAAAAAGGGAAATAATCGATGAGATACAAATAGACGTTTATGTTCATATTATTAATTATAATAATTTTTTAACAAATTTTGTATTAAAGTTAAGGAAATTAATAATACTTTTAAAAAATTCATAGTTATTTAAAATATATTTAAGTTGTATTGAATTTAAATAAATGAAAATTTTATGAATTGTGTTTTTAAATACATATTTTTGCTTACGATATAATTATATATACACATATTTATTTAATTTCATTATTATTATTTTTTATTATTATTTATTCTCCAACCACAATATAAAATAATTTTTAATCGTTTAAAAGGAAATTTTCGAAATATATATTGAAATAGAGTGGCAAATCTATCCCATAAAAAAATGTATTTAAATTAATTTTTGGATGAGAATCATTAATTAATAAAATTTATTCGAGTTGATTATTTGCATTATTGTCATTTATGGTTGATAATGCAAATTAATGGATAACAAGAAAAGGAGGCTATATAGATGGAATTTATGAATGACTAATTATAGAAACTTTTACAAACCTTACTTGAGGTTAAATAAATTTTTAATTTTTAATTTTTTTTAATTAAATATAGAATATGATTGAGGTATAACGCCCCCCTTTATGACCATATAGCTTTCGAACACTCCTCCATTTTGACCTCTCTGGGGCTAGAAATATTCTCACCAGAGCCAAGGTAGCATCGTCGCTAAGCGACAATCCCTCTTCATGGGTTAGACATATTCTCATCGAAGCTAAGGCAGCATCGCCGCTGAGCAGCGATCCCTCTGCAAATTTTTGATGGCCAAGAACCGGGTTGTTAGCATCTTCAAAAAGTGTTTCTCAACCTCTTTGAATTTTTCAGATTCAAGTTTCACGTTCGTTTAAATCCGACGCTTAGCTTGCGGTGGGGTGTTAAGGATATTTAGTAATAAATTATAGTTTACCATATATATTATATTTGATATTTTATTATAAGGAAAATATCAGAGGTATCTTTCCATTTATTACTATTTTCATATCCTTCTAATTCATTTGATTATAAATAAGATAACTTTCACATCATTTAAGTGCGGTGGATTAATCAAACATTCACAATAAGCAACCTATTTGTATATCCACATGCTTTACTTTGGGATTAAGGAAGTTCAAGTCTAGTCTCTACTGCCACTTGAGCATCTATGGTGCCTCAAAGTTTTGAACGGTACCTTAACGGTTGAAGGACCCACTTTAAGTTTAGAGGAGGTGGTTCGCCCTTTTCTAGCATTGCAGGTCGTGGAGCGACGAGTCCCATCTTTGGGTGAATTACTCTCTATTCTTTAACTTAAGGTAGTTTACTTTGCCTATGCAGTGTAAAATCGATGTCCCAAGTTTAGGCACGGTCTCCTACAACTCTCTCTCTCTAGTGGGGACGGTATGATGTGTGTGCTAGTCTAATCATCATCCATGGAAAGTTAGTTGGCGATTGTTGAACACAACTATCTGTGAGAAACGCTCGCACATTTTATTAGAACATCGAGAAGAGATTTAAAAACACTCTATAAAAACTACTGCTTTATCAAATCCCTAAATCATTTTTCTAAATTTATTTCTAAAATTCTAAATCATAAATATAATTACTCATACCGAGCTTAACTTATTGGACTAGTGATAATATTTTAACATTAACAGCTAACCCTTCCCATAAGATTATATACTCACCCAAGGTTAGGGAAGTGACTCCATGTACTTACCAGCTACTAAGACTACCTGCGTGATTTCACGCCCTCTCTTAGGACGGATTTGTACTACTTATACTTAAAGAATTGATGGTTAAGAAAAACTCGAAGAATTGATAGTCACTACTTATACTGAGAACGTGCACCTTCATTTTTTATGACTAAATCTTAAGAACTTTAAAGTTACGCACCGCATTAGGTGATCTAGTATTTGAGCATGAACAAAATATCTTGAAGATGATTTATATGAATACATGGGGAATAGTTTTCATTCTTAGAAATACTTCAAAACGAATAGGTAGCGCGATCGTGTTGCAGGGATACATGAGAATCTCGAGCCATCAGATGCTAAATTTGATTCCAAACTTGGTTCAACGGTGTTATAATTTTGAAAATTTATTACTGAAACAGATCGTTAAACTAGATCATATACTCATTACATTCGGTATCGATCACTGTTACATGAAATGGAAATCTAAATAAAAACCATCCCGGCAGATAGCTTCCTCGTAATATTATTCATGACCACAACTTATTTGTTCCACATTCTAATAGAAAAGTAAACCATAAACATGTTGGATCATAGCTTAAGGGATTCTTAATAGGTATTTTTCTTCCTTTCGGTTTGGACATACCATCCAGCTTGTGCCACTTGTATGTCAGCTTCGTCACGGAGAGCATCGACCGAGAACTCTTTGGCTTTGAGATTGTCTCGATGAAATGTCGTACTTGATCGTGGCTCTATAGGTTTGATAAATAGATTTGTTTTGATTTCATCGGGATAAAATGTGACACTTGGGCGCGGTTCTATATCTTTGGCAATCTTTGTTTTGTTATCATCCGGATAAAACGTGACACTTGGTCGCGGTTCTATATCTTTGGCAATACTTGTTTTGATATCATCCGGATAAAACGTGACACTTGGTCGCGGTTCTATATCTCTGGAAATCTTTGTTTTGATATCATCGGGATAAAACGTGAAACTTGGTCGTGGTTTTATATCTTTGACAACCTTTAATTTAATATCATCCGGTTAAAATGATGCACTTGGTCAGGGTTCTATGTCCATAGAAAAAAGTTTAGTTTTAACTACATCCGAGTCAAATATTGCTTGTGGTCGAGGCTCGAGATTTTTGACCAAAAGTTTTCCATCTTAAATCTTCAAATTTTCGGTTACTAATAATAATTGTTTTTTTTTAAAATTAATTTAGCCTTATAATTTATTATGAGTTTTAGAGGTGCCACTGATGAAGGGTAGGAGTGTTCAAAAAACCCAATAACTCAGAAAAGATCGATGGACCTGACTCAACCCATTCGATTTGAGTTAGGTTATGAACTTATTTAAACTGTATTAAGTTCAAATAAATAAAAAAAATTATGAATTTATTATTAACATTAAATATATATTGTATATATACGTATATTTATTTAATTTTATAATTATTATTTTTATCATTTATTAAGATATATATTAAAATAAAGTTGAAAATCTTAATTAAATAAATATTTTAGAAACTTACATTAAAATTAAAAAAACAAATAAATATTATAGAAACTCACATTAAAAATAAAAATGTGTTCTTGGGTTAGTTTGGAATGAGTTCATTATTAAAAAAACCTCTCTACCTGCTAATACTCGAATTAATGTGATTGATCCGAACTTTATTGCGATTTATGGCTCTTAATTATCGTCACATGGTATAATTCAGTAGTTAGATACACACCCTTTTAGCTCATTTGAGTTTATCTCGAACATTAATATCATGTAACTCAACTCAATAATTAGTATCGTATATGTTGGTCCATATATGAAATTTCTCTTGATCCACCCTCTAATTCATGCTATTTTCGATTTTTCTTTTTCAATTTCAAATTTTCATTATTTGTGATTCCGTAAATTATGAATAACAACAAGTTCGATCTCGATTGTTTGTGTAACAGTTAAAGCCCACTGCTCGCATATATTATCTATTTTTGCCCGTTATATCACCGTCTACCTCATAATTTTAAAACGTGTTTGTTAGGGAGAGATTTCCACACCCTTATGAATAATGTTTCATTCTCCTCTCTAACTGATGTGAGATCTCACCGTTTGAATAGATTAGCACGTAATTTTAGTATGTTATTTTGTCGATAATTGTTTTTTTAAATAATTTTGGATAATTATATTCATGGCAGTCGAGTGAGTTAGAAAACCCTAATTCGGAGGACAACGCTTTTTACATCGATCAATATATTTAAACTTTACATTATAAACTTCCGATAAGCTATTATACTCAAAAAATAATGAAAACGTAGATTTACGTAGAAAATCCTTGATATGAAACCCTCTATCTCGAAACCGATACGAGTGAGAATTTTGGACGGAAGAAATAACAATATTATTAAAATTAATGAAATTTGTTAATATTTTTTTTAAAAGTTATAGACTTTTTAATACCCACTTAAAAATTTATGAATTAAATTTGTAATTTAATGAAAATTAAAAAAAATGTGACATTAATAATTAATTGTAATAATACAAGCTTGATTATGATGAATTAAATGGATATGGAGATGAATATTATATTTTTAATTTCCGCCCGTCTTAACTATTTATTTATTTATCTATTTATTATTTATATATATTACTATTTTTATTAGGATGTTTTATAACTCTCACACTGGTCGACGACTGACTTTGATATCATTTGTAACTGTCCAAATCCACCGCTAGCAAATATTATCCTCTTTGAGTTTTTCCTTCCGAACTTCCTCTCAAGATTCTAAAACGAAAAACTATCCATCATTCTAATTTCTTGAAAAATAAATAAAATTTTCATAGAAGATTGAAATAGGTAATCAGAACGATGCGAAAACTTCCGATAAATAGGCATATATCAGCTAGTTAGGAAGCTTATACAATCCAAACCCAACAAAACATGGAGGAAACTAAAAGGATGGGTAGCAGCAGCCTGGCTTCTTGCTTCATCTTCCTACTTCTTCTCTTGCCAATTCTTAAGGTAAAGTTTGACCTTTTACTTCAAAATTTAAGTGTTCTTAGGAGCTCTCGAACAAATTATACTATAAGCCTTTTCGGAAGTTTGTGGAGTTCTCGAACAGCCTCCCGTTAATTGAGGCTTGATTCCTTTATCTGGAGCCCTCGAACAAAGTATACCTTTGGTTCTCCACTTGAGAATTCTATTGAAATGACTAAGTTAAGGGCATGACTCTGATACCATGTTAGAAATCACGAATATCCACAATGGTATGATATTATCCACTTTGAGCATAAGCCCTCGTGACTTTGCTTTGTGCTTTCCCAAAAAGCCTATTATCAATAGAGATGTATTCATTTACTTATATACTCATCATCATTCCCTAAATTAGTCAAGGTGGGACTCACTCCCAACAATCCTCCCTTCGAACAATGTACACTATAAGCCTCTCCTGGGGCTCATAGAGCTCTCGAGGAGCCTCCTCTTAATCGAGGCTTGACTCATTTCTCTGGAGCTCTCGAACAAAGTACACTCTTTGTTCGCCACTTGAGGATTCTATTGACATGACTAAGTTGAGGGTCTGACTCTGATACCATGTAAGAAACACGAATCTCTACAATGGTATGATATTGTCCACTTTTAGCATAAACTCTGTTAGTTTTGCTTTGGACTTTTCCAAAACACCTCATACGAATAGAGATCGTATTCATTTGATCATTCTCTAAATTAGCCAACGTGAGACTCACTCTCAACAATCCTCAACAAATATCATCTCACAACGCTCATATTTTGCAGTTTGGCGAAGGAAATACCGAAGCCTTAGATGAAAGTGAAGAGAAGAAGGATCCCATGCTCATAAAAATGGTGACCAAAATAGACCCAAAACTCATAGTTTTCTTCACCATAAATGACCTAAAACAAGGCAAAAAACTCCCAATTTACTTCCCCAAAAGAGACCCATCAAAATCCCCTCCATTATTACCCAAACAAACCCCTAATTCAATCCCTTTCTCCCTCAAAAACCTCCCTCAAATCCTCTCCTCCTTCTCCTTCCCCCACGCCTCCCCTCAAGCCCAAGCCATCCAACAAAGCCTCCACCAATGCGAGCTCAAACCCATCAAAGGCGAGACCAAATTCTGCGCCACTTCCATGGAATCAATGCTAGCCTTTGTAACCACTGCCTTGGCCACAAAACCCCCTCTCAAGCTTCTCAAAACGTCCCATCTCACAAACTCCAACGTCCATTTCCAAAACTACACGTTCCTCGAAGCCCCTAAGCAAATTGCAGTCCCGAGGCTCGTGGCGTGTCACACCATGCCATATCCATTCGCTGTTTATTATTGCCATTATCAAGAAGGTGACAATAGTGTGCTGAAAATTGCTTTAAAAGGTGATAATGGAGACTTAGTTGATGCATTGGCGATTTGTCATATGGATACCTCCCAGTGGAGCCCTAGTCATCCGTCGTTTCGTGTCCTTAACATCCAACCTGGGTCTGTCCCTGTTTGCCATTTCTTCCCTTCCGATGATCTCGTGTGGGTTCCTCAAGGTTAGGTCAAAGGTTCGAATACTCCTACTCCTGTTCGTCAAATTCAATAATGAAGAAATAATAGTCCGATCATACACGTGGCTTTCAAGCAGTGAACATGTGGGTGGGTCTAAGTTTGATTTCCACCTTTTAAATTATGTAATGCATAAAAATAAAATAAATTGAAATATCCTTCAACTTTATCTAATCAATATTAGTTTAGAAAAAAATAAATAAATAGAAAATTTTAAAAATTTCTAAATTATATCCATAGATTCTTATTTGGCAATGCTACGTCAGCAATTTATCCAACGGTCATTAAAAACTGATAGATTTGGAGCATCCAATCCAACGGTTGATAGAAAACCACATCATAACTAGAATAGGTCCAACAAACTAACTCGGAATTATACAAGTTTTTGCGTACGATAATTAACCCGACCAGTAGAGTCGTTGAGATTATATTCCCCGTCTCTATCCGATTCTCCAATCCGAGATAAATAACCCGATTGTGGTTGAGATTATATTCCCCGTCTCGATCCGATTCTCCAACCCGAGATAACTAATCCGATTGTGGTTGAGATTATATTCCCCGTCTCGATCCGATTCTCCAACCCGAGATAACTAACCCGACTAGTGGTTGAGATTATATTCCCTGTCTCGATCCGATTCTCCAATCCAAACAGTGCAGAGATTATATTCCCTATCTCGATTCTCCAACCCGAACCGTGCAGAGTAGATAAATTTGAAACATCCAAACGAACCGTGCAGAGTAGATAAAGATTAAAAAAAAATGTATATCACAACAACCTATTTGACCAAAAACCTTGGCCATTTTCTTTCTCATTATATAATATTTTATCATCAATTTCATACGCCAAAAATGGGTACTAACATGATACACAAAAGTAGCAAGACTAACAAACGGGCTGTTATCAGCTGCCACCGTCGCCGCCGCCGTCGCCGCCGCCTACGAGGAAACCAAATCATAACCATTTGAAACATGAACAGCTCCGATACCTCTCTACCCATACTACAAGGACTCAAAATTATATTTTTTACTATTGTAATTTAAATTTTAAATAAAAATAAAAGTAAAGGTTTTAAATATAATTTAAATTAAAGATACATTTTTATATTTATCTCAAATAATAAGAAATAGAGATAAATAAATCTTTCCTCACTAATCAAAATCATAATCCAAAATTCCACTCGATTCCGTAATAGAAGTGTCTATTGTAGGGTTGAAGAGAAAAACGAGGCGATCCTTAGCCCTGGTTTGATGAATATTAGTATGGGTGTAGAAATATTTGAGATGTTTAAGTTTCAAAAGTCCAATTAACCATCCCAAAAGTAAGAACAACCAATTTATTCTTTCGTTATCATTGATGATCACCGGCTCTACGCACTTTGCATGCATGCACAACACGCAGTTCGCTAACGTAGGTTTCGTCCATGATTGGGGAGCTCTACTATGTAAAATATCTCTTTTTCTCTCGATAAAACTCGCTATCTCGTTGAACTTCTCCACCAAATCATACCCCATATTGTAACTTTATTTGCATTGGTTGCATTTGACGTCGCCCGTGATTGTGAGGATGCAGTTTGCTTGGAGGTAAGCGAGTTCATGGACTATGGCTCGACGGGTTGTGGACCATGGATATGGTGGTTCGATTGGCGTGTTGTTTGGTCTACTTCTTTGTCGTCTTTGATTGGGTTGTGGAGCTTGAGGGGAGTGATGTGGGATCACGACATGTTGGGGTAATGTCGATGGTATTGGGTCGATACTTGATTGTTGTTGTGAGAGTGTTGCTGTGTCATTGTAAATTGGGGCAGTGGCGACGGTGACAGTAGACGTAATTGGGGGGTGGCGACGGTGGAGGGAGAGAGGGCGGTGAGGGCGGTGGTGACGATGGTGACGGTGGATGGAGAGAGTGCGATGGTGACGGAGGACAGAAAGAGAGTCTAAGTTCGAGATCGATTTGTATATTATTTTCTAGATTTGTCATCGAAAATTATTGGAGAATGTTGCTACAGATGTGAAGTATTAGGTAAAATTTAAAATCTGTTCCCATACCATAAAAAAACTTTTATTAAATTCAAACACTAAAATTTTAATTAAGAATCCATAAAATAATTATATTTAGTTTTAAAAATTGAGAAATATTAGATAAAATTAGTTATAATTAAATTAATTTTTAATTAATTAATTAGAAAATAATCATAAGTGAGTATTAATAAAAATATTAAATAAAATGAATTATAATTAAATTAATTTTCATTAATTTTTCATCGCTCATTATAATTAATTAAAAAATTTCACATCGAATTATTTTTAATTAATTAATTAGAAATTAATAATTAGTATTAATAAAAATTAAAATGTAATTTTTTTAAAATTTAACTACAAAAAATCTCAAATTTTAAGATTAAGTTCAAAATTTAAAGATGCAAATATAACATTTTGATAACAAAAAAAAATTAAATTCCAAAACTTAAAATATAAAATTTTGAATATTTGAAAATTTTATTTTCTTCCCACTCTTTGAAAATATTTAAACGATTTTTTATTTATTTGAGTATTTTATGTAACTAATTATTTTATTTATTTGAGTATTTTATGTCACTAATTATTTTAATTATGGTACTTTAAAAAATTATTTTAAAAAGGAAACAAAAATTTTAAAAACAAAATATTTAAATCAGTAACTAAATTAAAAAAAATCAAATTTATTTTAAAATGACATTAATATTTTTTAACAACTAAAATTTGATAATTTAGCAAAATCTTTTATAAAATTCAAACACTATAATTTCAACTAAGAATCTATAAAATAATTATATCTCAGATGTTCGTGGTCGAATAATTTCTAGGTCCTCCATGGTGGATTCAAAGGTCTAAGAAGAGGGCACTATTTAGTGCTCAAACTGCAGTAAGAAATGCTATTAAGGCAGTAGCAGATCAAGGTATGCAATGAGCAGAAGTCATGATAAAGGGTCCTGGTCTCGGAAGAGATGCAACGTTAAGAGCTATTCGTAGAAGCGGTATACTCTTAAGTTTCATACGGGATGTAACCCCTATGCCACATACGTTTCAATCAACAAATATTAGATAAAATTAGTTATAATTAATTATTTTTCATTACTATTATAATTAATTAAAAATTACTTCAAATTATTTTTTATTAATTAATTAAAAATTATTAAAAAAAAAACAGCATTAATAAAAATATTAGATAAAATTGTTTATAATTAAATTAATTTTCATTAATTTTTCATCACTATTATAAATTAATTTAAAAAAATCGATCAAATTATTTTTAATTAATTAATTAGAAATTAATCAAAGTGAGTATTAATAAAAATTAAGAGAAAAAATATAATATTTTAAAATTTGAAGACTAGCACACCAAAATTAAAATGTAATTTTTTAAAATTTAATGACAAACAAAATCATTTTATTTTTAAAATGAGGTAAAAGAGAAAAATAATTAGAAATAGGTTAGTAACTAGAGGAAAATATAATAAGAAAAAACAATGGAAAGTGAGGAAGAATGGTCAAAGTCAAAAAAGGGTATTTGGGTCATTTTGCCATTAAAACCTGAAATGGATATTAGTTAGTAAAGAGGAATAAAAGAAAAAAAATAAAAATGGAAAGGTGGGAGAGGAAAAGAAAAAAGAAAAAAGAAAAAAGAAAAAAGAAAAGAAAAAGAAAATAAAGAGAAGGAAGGTTCTAGAGAAGAGGAGGGGAAGTAGCAGCCACTTTAGATACGGCCACGAGGATTTCGGTTTTGGCCGAGATTTCTTTACAAATACTTCACAGAATCTATAGGAAGCATTCTATACCCTTGAATCCTTAAAACGTCAACGAAGAAAATTCGTAGATAAATTCTTGAACCTTTGTTTTCAGATTTTCCTTAGATTTGTGAGAAATATTGAGAGTTAGATTCTGAAGTTTGAATACGTTAATCTAGAGTGGACTCCGAGTGGACTCCGCTCATAATCCGTGAAGGAAGTCTTGATCGATTTAGATCGGAAATAGGAGTTCCGACTTTTACCAAAAGGATGTAAGTATGGGTGTTTCTTGACAACTTTAGACTAAGTTTATTATGCATGTGGTTAGAAATAAATTACGAAAAAAATACCTTAAATGGATATGAGGTTTACAAATCTAGTGAAGGAATCACGTTAATCCGAGTTGTGTAGAAAGAAATACGAAAATGCAAAGAAAATAGAAAATAATCGATTTTCTGAAAAAATCGTAGAGATGGGAGGAAGAAGACGAACGGCGAAGGACGCGTGTTAGAAAGGGAGAGGGCCGTGAGTCGTCGGGAAAATGGGACATGTGTCAGGCGTGGAATGGCGCAGGAAAATCACGAAAAATACTGCGTCATATAGGGTTTGAAGACCGGTGCCCGCTACCAGACTCGTGAACCCGCGCGCAACTCGAACCCGTCAACCAACCTATCCCCGCTTTTCGCCACGTGTCAACATGGGAAAAATCGTAGGAACTCGCATGCATCCAGATTCAAACGCACGACCTAGCTCTCAATGGACCATCCAACCCTCTCCACGTGGCGACACCCTAGCACGCGACTCCATCCCTTCAGCGCGTCCGTACGCGTGCGTCTGTGCGTGTGGGAAATCCCTCCAGCGCGTGAGACACTATTTTCATCCCGATTTAACTTCCGTTCGACTAGTTTTCATCCCGTTTTTTATACTGATCTAAGTCTAACTTGATTTAGGACCTATCAGCGAACTTTCAAGAGTTTTGGAACTCTTAATTAGCCAAAAAATAAGCTTCGAAGGGCACGTTTCATTTCTATAAGTAACCACACATATTTAGGAAGTAATACTTATGGGGTCCGCTTGGTTTTGTATGCATGCTAGAGCAAATTATCCCTAGGTGGTTAGATCTAAAGATCCTTTGTACTTATGAAGTTAAATATATATCGGTTGGACTTGCTGCCTTTATGAGATTTCGTTCTCGATGTTTGTATGCTTGTTGGACTATCTTTCTACTGTTTTTATCTGTTCATACTATGTGGGTGGACTGGAGGATTTGTGTATCTGCGCTTCGGGTGTTGATGGATGATATCACCCCTAACTCAATAGTTTTAACTACCCTTGAGATATAGAGAACCACATGAGGACCCCGAGGTGTAGAGAGATGACCTCTTAGTCGATAGGATCTGGTATAGTGTTCGAGTATGCTCTGCTTCCTTTCCTACTCTAGTGTGGTATTGTTGAGCTAGGCAAGACGCCAGTTAGGGAGATGTTACCCTCCCCTTCCTACTCCGGTGTGGTACCGTTGAGCTAGGCGAGACGCCAATTAGGGAGGTATTACTCCTCCCTTCCTACTCCGATGTGGTACTGTTGAGCTTGGTGAGACACCTATTAGGGAAGTGTTACTCAGTGGTAGATCGACTACTCTACATGGGGATCCGTCTTATGGTAAGATGTTGATCACGCGAGTGGGTCAAGGTCGCCTGCATGATGGGTCCGTCCTCTGGAAGGACGTTGACCATGCAGTGACTAATTCTAGTTGGATTGTACGAGTGGTACATGTAGTTATGAGGGAACACATCATCCTCAAACGTTGAATATCGCTTCAAAGGTTAAGTCCTTCCACCCTAAACTGTGTACTAAGAGTACTGAGACTCTAGGGTCTAGAGTATAGTTGGTGGTTATCTCCTAAACTTGGATGCGATTAAGAGCTTACAAATAGGTTGCTTACTGAATATATTTTTATACTTACCCTGTTTCCCTTTTTTTTTTCAGGTACCGGTCGAGGTGGGGAGGTGTTCAAGAGCTGCACTGTCACAGAGGGGTGTCGGTCTTTTGTATTTTTCATTTCCCGTTTGTAATATTTGACTTTAATTTTGTATTTAGTTTTGGTGTCATTGACTCTTTTTTTCTTCATTTAAATTTTATCAGATTTTCATCACCTACTTTTAAATTTTATTTGTTTTCGATTTCGTTTTTTTAGTCACGTTTTTCGAAGCCTTGAAAATCGGGTCTTGATATAATTAAATTATTTTCATTAATTTTTTATCAATATTATAATTAATTAAAAATTCTCCATCAAATTATTTTTAATTAATTAATTAGAAATTATTCAAAAAGCACTAATAAAAATATTAGATAAAATTGGTTATAATTAAATTAATTTTCATTAATATTTTATCTCTATTATAATAAAAATTAAGTGCATATTGAAATACAACCGAACTATATAAAAATTACCTTTAAAATTTAAGTTTAAAAATATAATATTTTAAAATTTAAAAACTAACAAAAAAAAATTAAAATGTAATTTCTTCAAATTTAAAGGCTAACAAAACTCAAATTTTAAAATTTAAAGGTACAAATATAAACTTTTGATAGAAAAAAATAAATTAAATTTCAAACTTGAAGTAAAATATAAAATTCAGAATATTTGAGTATTTATTTGAATATTTTATGTCACTGAAAATTATTTTAATTCATTTTTATCTATAATTAAATTTTTACGGAAATCTCAATGAAATATTTAGGAAAAGAAATATAAAAACAAAAATTAAAAAAAAAATATTTAAATTAGTAACTAAATTTAAAAAAAAAAATTAATTTATTTTAAAATGCCATTAACATTTTTTAACGATTTAAAAAACAAACGTTTTTGTTAATTATAAATCTTAAAATAACTAAATTTATAATTACATCGAATTAAAATTATAAAAATGAAGAATCAAAATAAATTAAAATTAGAAACTCAAATATTATTTTAACACGAAATTTAATTTTAAATAAAATTGGAAAAGATTTTATTCTTTTATCTCTTCTTCATCTGACGGTCGTTGGTAACCGATATATCTTAAACCTATATCGAACGGTCATGATTTTTTCTATTTATTCAAATAATTATTTAACTCGTAACAGTATAAAATCGTCAACCAAAAGGAGTAGTATCTGATTTCCACCTGGTTTAACATAATGAAGACTATAGGAGGTAATAGCCAAAATAACAAAGATCCCAACCTTGAACTCTCTCTCCATATGCCATCTCAGCCTCCACTTGAATGGGGTCAACCGTCGACACCGACATCGCCCCAAACTCCAAACCAACCAGTGGCGGTCTCTTGTTCCATCGAGCAAACTATGAACCAATCGGTGGCGGTCCCTTGCTCCAGCGAGCAAACTATGAACCAACCGGAGGCGATCCCTCACGCCATCGAGCAAATTTTGAGTCAACAGGTGGCAGTCACTCGTGGGGAAACTCCGAACCAATTGGTGATGACCCCAAACCCCTTAGGGGAAGCTTTGAACCAACCGGTGGCGATCCCTTGTGCCACCGAGCAATGCCGGTTGGTTCGAAGTTTGAGCCTACCGACGACAATCACTCGGCCCATTGGGGAAACTCTGAACGAATTGTTGGCAATCCCTCACACCGTAAATGAAACTTTGAACCAATCGATGACGATCCCTCACAACATCGAGCGAACTTCTAGCCTACCGGCGACAATCACTTGGGCCATCAAGGAAACTCTTGACCAATTGGAGGAGATCCCTCACAACATAAGGGAAACTTCGAACCAACCGGTGGCGATCCCTCGCGCCATCGAGCGAACTTCTAGTCAACCGGCGACAATCACTTGGGCCATCGGGGAAACTCTTAACCAATTGGAGGAGATCCCTCACACCATAAGGGAAAATTCGAACCAACCTGTGGCGATCCCTCGCACCATCGAGCAAACTTCGAGCCAATCAACACCAATTATTCGAGGCATCAGAGAAACTCTAAACCAATCAGTGACAATCCCTCACAACATAAGGGAAACTTCGAACCAACCAATGGCAATCCCTAGTGCCATCGAGCAAACTTCTAGCCAACCGGCGACAATCACTTGGGCTATCGGGGAAACTCTTAACCAATTGGAGGAGATCCCTCACAACATAAGGGAAAATTCGAACCAACCGGTGGCAATCCTTCACGCCATCGAGGAAACTTCAAGCCAACCAACGACAATCACTCGAAACATTAGAGAAACTCTAAACCAATTATTGACAATCTCTCACAACATAAGGGAAACTTCGAACCAATCGGTGGCGATCCCTCACGCCATCGAGCAAACTTTGAGCCAACCAACGACAATCACTCAAGCCATCATGGAAACTCCGAACCAACCGATGGCGATCCCTCAGACCGTAGAAGAAACTCCAAACCAATCAACGACAATCCCTCAAGCCACAAATGGACACTCTACATCAAGACCTAGACGAAGACGAAGTAGAACGAGAGCAGACACCAGGAGGATCGAGCCACCGTATCCATGGTCGGCCGAGCAACGAGCATCAATCCACAATCTCGAGTACCTCCAATCAAACAACATCGTAATGATCAAAGGCGATGTGAGGTGCAAAAAATGCGAGAGATATTACGAAATCGAGTACAATTTGATGAACAAGTTCGATGAGATAGCAAGATTCATAGAAAGAGAGAGAGATAACATGCATGATAGAGCTCCAATTTGTTGGAAAAACCCTATTTTACCAAATTGTGAGCATTGCAGGGAAGAAAACTGCGTAGAGCCAATGATACCCGATGAGGAGGACGACAACCAATTCAGAAGAATCAATTGGCTGTTCTTGCTTTTGGGGCAATTGATTGGACGTTTAAAGCTCAAACAGCTCAAATACTTCTGTGCTCATACCTATAACCATCGAACCGGGGCTAAGGATCGTCTCATCTTTCTCACTTATCTTGCGTTGTGTAAGCAACTTCAACCCTCAAATCGTCTCTTCAACTGCTAATTTGATTAGGGTTTTGATTATTGAATAGTATATCCCGAACCGTTTTAAGATATTACTTCGATTTGGAGTATGAGTATGAGTTTGATTTCAGTTGATAATCTATGTTTTTTTTCGGTAATATTGTTTTTGGTTTTGGGTCTAATGTGCATAATAGGTGATTCAAACTCCAGTTTTGGATTATATTTATAATGATTTATGTTTAAGTTTGGACTTGAGTATCTCAAGTCGTTTTAAGATATTACTTCGATTTCGAGTGTGATTATGAGTTTGATTTTAGTTGATAATAGATGTTTCTTCGCCAACCATGTCGTTTGAAGGTCCAGGTATTTCAAATCATATTAAGATATTACTTCGAACTTGGGTATGAGTATGAGTTTGATTTTAGTTGATAATATATGTTTTTAGAGTCCAACCGTGTACGTAATTCTAACTTCTATTTAGAATATATTTATAATCATTTAAAAATAATATTCAGTTAGATATACGTTCGAGAATATAACTTGAAATTTAGCTTACTTAGTCAAACTCGAGAGGATGGTAACTGATGAAACTTAAAAAAAATATTTTTATTTGGTTACAAAGAATATTTTTATTATTAAAAAAAACCAGAGAATATTGGGTTACAGAGATTTGATTAAGAGAAATATTTTTATTTGGTTGAAGACAATATTTTTATTAGGGTTAAATTTAAAAAATTTAAAAATTGACAATTCAATTTTAAAAATGTGCCGATCTAACCCAATTATAGGTGGGTCGAGTTCATTATTTAATAGATGTTATTTGGGTCGGAAAAAATTGAAACCACTCGTCGAGCAAGGACGAAAGTCGGCCTTAGTGATTCGATGGTACCGAGTGGAAGGGCCGTCGCTCAACGGATAAAAGTTACTCTAGGGATAACAGGCTGATCTTCCCCAAGAGCTCACATCGACGGGAAGGTTTGACACCTCGATGTCGACTCTTCGCCACCTGGGGCTGTAGTATGTTCCAAGGGTTGGTTGTTCGCCCATTAAAGCTGTGTGTGAGCTGGGTTCAGAACGTCGTGAGACAGTTCGGTCCATATCCGGTGTGGGCGTTAGAGCATTGAGAGGACCTTTCCCTAGTATGAGAAGACCGGGAAGGACGCACCTTTGGTGTACCAGTTATCGTGCCCACGGTAAAACGCTAGGTAGCCAAGTGCAGAGCGGATAAATGCAGACATTAACTTTTTAACCATTAAAAAACGTTTCTATTAACTATAAATCTTAAATTTATAATTACATTCAATTAAAATTATAAAAAGTAAAAAATCAAAATAAAGTAAAATTAGAAACCAAATATTATTTTAACCCATTTTTTCAAAATTTAGTTTTAATTTTGTTGCTAGAAAATAAAATTTAGGAAAGATTTTATTCTTTTATCTCTTTGTCATCTAACGGACCGTCGTAACTGATAGATTTTAAACCTATATCAAGCAACCGTCATAATTTTTATTTTAAAACATATATTTTAATAAAGTATTTGTGTTTGGATATTTCAAATATTTAGATGAATTTTGGAATGTTTGTGCATTTTTCTTTATTATTATAAAAATAGTATGTTTAAGATTATATTTTTTCTCAACTTTTTCATCTTTTCCTTTATATATATATTATATTATATATATTTATTGTTTTTATTAGGATAAAGATTATATTTTTCCTTAATGTTCTGTCATTTTTTGCTTTATATATATACACCCTAATATTAAGATAAAAAAACTAATTTATTATATATATTTCTTGTTTATATTTATATAATAAAAAATGTAATTACCGTGAATTATGTTATATTAAGATTTAAGTGGGTAGAAATTAAGTTATAAAATATTATTGAATTTATAAATATCTTTTTAATTTTTTAATAAAAATTATATTAAAAGATAAAACTTATCCACCTTAAAATATTTTTTTAAAAAATAAATATGTATAAAATAAAAATAAAATTTCTAATTGAAAATCACGTGAATTTGAGTTTGGCAAAATAAAGGGAGAATTTGTAAAGAAAATTAAAAAAAAGTGAGAAATAAATAAAATTTTCCTTTAAATATGAAAAAAAAAAAAAAAAAATCTTAATTTCGGGACCGAAATGAACAGCAACCTAAAGATTTTGACGAAATCAAAGCTCGACTGTGTAATCCGATGCAGATCGATCAAAGCGCGACTGTGTAATCCGACGCAGATCGATCGAATGGCTAGCAAATTTTTTTTTGAGAGTTTTCAGGAACAGAGAATCGGTGAGCTAGATTAGGGGGGAAATTCTCTCTCAGTTCTGCTTAGTTTACACCATGGAAGCTTCTTTTCGAGCTCGGAGTTTTGTTGTCTGACATTAGCGCAATATTTCATCCAGTTGCACGAACGTATCGTTTGTTTTTTCAGATTTGGTTGCAATGGACGCGTTGATTGAGCTCTGCGACTTGATCGCGCAGAATCCAGCCTTGTTCTCTGAAAAGCTCTCGTGGATTTGTAGTCGATGTCCTCCATCTGAGGCTATTCTTGCTGGATCTCCTGCCATTTCGCGTTCTCAGCTCAATGCAGTGCTTGCGGTTGCTCGACTTCTCTCTAAATGCCCTGAATCGGTTGGTCTACGCCCCAAATCTGTCGTCCTCGAGTTTCTTCGTTCAATTCCTCTCTCTTTCAGCTTATCTTTCTGGCCGCAGTCGTTCGGAAATGATGCTATCGCTTCGTTTTTTACCGAATTCTTGAATTACACGTCGAAAGCCTGTGAATTATCGACAGATTTTGCCATGGAGGTTTCGGGATTCACTAGTGAGGTTGTGTTGTCTGCAATTAATGATTGCAGTGAAGGTTCGGCAATTTCTAGAGCTTTTCTTGTGGCTCTGTCGAAAAGTTTTCTCCCGATTATCCCTTCCGATGCAGATAAATTGGTTAGTTGCATTCTTGATCTTTTTTTGATATCAGAAGTTGTCCCTGGAACGCCCAGGGAACAAATTCAGGCAAACTCTGAGCCCTCATCGTCTCAGAGTTCGCCATTGAGTGTAAGCCATCAGCCTTCGAATGGAGGCTTAAGCCCTGGAAATGAGAACGGCCAAGTGTCAGGTTCCTTAAGTAGCGGTGCTTCACGCATCACAGACGACGCCACTAGTGCGTCCTCAAGAGGGTCGGGGATGATGAACGGAAACAGCATTCTTTGGAAGAGTGGTTTAGACCAATTAGGTATGAATTTGGGAACCAGTGAGGGCGGCGTAGCTTTCGTTAGGCAACAAGTTGCCTTCTTTGAGGACGAGTCTATCGAGAATTTGGAGAAGCAGGAGATTGCCTTCAAATTAATGACCCACATTTTAGATAATTCTTCCTTTGATGCAAGGCTCTGGGAACAGATGAGAGCATTGGCTAAGAAGCAGCTCCAGACATTGCCAACTTTCCTAAAGGTTAACATTTTCATTGTCAAACTTGCAAGAAATTGTCTTGGCAAAACTATACTTTCCAAAATGAATTTATGTGGACAACGTTTTAGATAGAAGAAAGTTCAATAGTAATTGTTAAACTTGCTGATTGATATGTGCAGATTAAAAAGCGAGATTGGAGCGAACAGGGTTCAGTTTTAAAAGCAAGAATTAATACTAAACTCTTGGTTTATCAAGCTGCTGCGAGGTTAAAAATGACGACCGTTGCTTCTCTAGATTTTGATGGGAAACCGGCTAAGAAGTTAATATTTGAGACTTTTGCATTATTGATGGATGCTGCTGAAGCCTGTTTACTCTCTGTGTGGAGAAAGTTGAGAATCTGTGAAGAACTCTTTGGTTCCTTGCTTACTGGACTGGCACAGATTGCTGTTACTCGTGGAGGTCAGCCATTACGAGTGTTGCTCATCCGTCTTAAACCTCTAGCTTTAACAGTGTGTGCACAGGTAAGCGTTCTTGATTGGTTTAATTTTTTCTATATGCAGAGAAAGCGTAACAAGATTCCTATATCAAATCTTTGTTCGAAACTCAGAGGATGGTTAACAATTTCGCAATGTATTGAATGTATTTGTTCCAGGCTGATACTTGGGGAAGCAACCAGGGAGCAATGTTTGAAAGTGTCTTGACAACATGTTGTGAGATAATAGAATCTTGCTGGACCAAAGATCGAGCTCCCGTTGACACATTTATCATGGGATTGGCCACGAGCATCCGTGACCGGAATGATTCTGAGGAGCAGGTTGGTTATTTGAGATTGCTGAGTGAACAATAAGCGGTTACACATTGCCTCTTTTTCTTTTTTCTTTCGTATGAAATAAAAGCTTTGTCATTATTAGATTTCTTGTAAAATTGTGCTGATATCTGAAAGATCTTTAATGCCCACGAATACAATCTGTAAGTAAATCTCATTGGTTCTCTCTCTTTTCTACTTAAGCTCCCCTCAGTACTGTTTTAGTGGATGGTCTAGTTTGTTTAAGTTGTTTGATTTTTATTGCGGTTATCGATGGGTATCTATGGCATTAAAGTTTTACATAAATCCTCAACCTTCTATGAAACGTATAATGTTTCTGTTTGTTTAATTTTACAGTCAATTACCAAATTCATAATGATTTGATGTACGCCAATTTCAGGACGACAAAGAGAAACAGGCAGTTCCTACGCAACTTAATGTTATTCGCTTGTTAGCTAAGATGTCTGCTGCTGTTAACAAATCTGAAATTGTTGAGATGATATTACCCCTTTTCATTGAGAGCTTAGAAGAGGGTGACGCGTCAACTCCCGGTTTATTGCGACTTCAAGTATGGGAACTTCTATTTTGCTAATATTATTTGTGGATGTGGATTTATGACATTTCGTTGTTACTAGTTTGTTTATTACCTTCAGTTGATGGCTTTTTAGTATCGTCCTAATATTTTTTCTACAGCTTCTTGATGCTGTATCTCGCATGGCAAGCCTAGGTTTTGAGAAGTCTTATCGAGAGACAATAGTTCTGTTGACAAGAAGTTACTTAAGTAAACTTTCTAGCATTGGGTCATCTGAAAGCAGAACAGTGGCTCCGGAA